CCATGCCTGAAGCAGAGAAATGATTGGGTTTAACTGCTGTGGCTTCTGCTTTTTATTCATGGGCCTGAGTAGTAGGAGGTGTTGGAAGTAAGTCTCACATCGTAAGGAACAGTAGCCTTCCCTGCAGACCATGGAAATGTCACCAGAGGGACGTTCCTCTGGGAGATGTCAGACGTCCACCGGGCAGATGTTAGTCTCTGCAGAAAATGTATCCACTTACCTGTGTGAAATGCTACAGTGGAGTCCTATTTATTTATTTATTTATTTTATTTATTTATTTATTTATTTTATTACTTTTTGGAGTCCATTTAGATTGTACTGTGTGATGATGGGTTATGGTTGGGGTTTTGCCTAAATTTTAGCTTGTGGCTGTTAAATATGTTGCCCTATCTTAAAAATGAGTTTGAAGGTGACCTTGAGGGGAATGTGAGGGTTTTTAAAACTTCCTGGATACTTAAAATGTCATCCCATTAGGGGATAATTTTCTCCTTGTATGGGAGGTGCTTCTGCTTCTGAAATTGGAAATTGGTCTGTGGAATTCCTCAGGTACAGTTTTTTAGGATTTTGGTATTGTTTTGAGCGGGTTGGGATGTGGGGAGGAAATTGAGGTGAAAGGTGCCATAAAGCCAGATTGGTTTCTGGGGTCATTTAGGGACCGTGGATAAGGAAGCATTTAGTCCACGCTATTTTAAAAAAACACATTTTTTTTTCTTTTTCACATCTTGGAAGCTGGGGGTTTCACCCTTTTAGAAGCTGACCTCAGTGAAGGCCAAAGTGGAGGATCAGTAAATATGCTACTGGCTCCCCCAAACTCCAGAGTGAGAGTCTTCTCCTTTTCCTTGGTTTTTATATTTTCTTTTCCATCATCTCCTTATGCTACAGAACCTCTGCAAGCTGTCTGACCTTACCAGGATAGTGACCTATACTCCTTTCTTCCCCTTTTCTGTTTGATGTTCTTGTGACTTTTATTCTTGGCAAATAAGGATGCCAGACTTGACACAAGTTACTGCTGAGTGATGGTTTTTACCACCCCTGCTTTTTCTCTCTCTTTCTTTCATTCTTATTTTAATTTAAAGGCAGCCCATGGATTATTAACTTAACACGGTCTGGGCAAACATGGAATTATGCAATCCCCAGGTGAGCAGGCCTGCCTGCTTCTCCTGTGTTCCGAGATAACCATTTGGGCTGGGAGTGTGGGTTGGTGTGGTGAAAGGAAGGTGAGGTGTGTGGGAGGGGGACCAAGAGAGCACTGTGCCTCTTGTCTTTGGGCTGGGGACAGTGGCCAGGGAGGCCCCCACACAGGAGAGTTTCCAGGTGTGCTCCACACCAGACTTTAACGTCTAAGAATTGTTTGGGATTACTGGGGTGTGTTCCTGGTTTGTGTTTTAGACTACCCGTTTATTGTGTTGTACCAGGAACAGATTGTACCAGTGACTGCTGTTTATACACTGAAGTGGGGTCGGTGGATCTGACTCATAACCTGGGATCTTCAGGGAGGAAATTATCAAGATAAGGGCACTAGCATTTTGGGGCACCTGCTTCTACGCTACTTAGGATTCAGAGTTCTTAAATGAACCTCTCCTGCTCACAGGCGCTTTATGTTCTCAAGAATTTCTTTTTCCCTTGTAAGGGCATTTAAAAAGTACATCTAGAGACCAGTCCTAGGCTGATATGAGGCTGATTGTTTTTGGAGGTGGAAGCGAGTTTTGTAATCCCTGAACATCTTATTTTGCATTTGGATAAGAAAACGGAATTAAAACCGAACTCTTAAAAAAAAAAAAAAAAACACCGAAGTTTTCTTCTCTCCATCTTTTGCATTTAGGAGATCTTAGTATGATCCTTCAAATAAAGATTATGGGCCATCTGTCCCTTTTGGATGATTGGGGTGGTCTTGGCCTGGATGAGTGAAATGCAGTTTCATTTGCATAGTTTACTACGGAGCCTGAGGACAGGGTTGAATTGGTCTGAGAATCCACCAAGGAATGGAAAGAAGGGTTTACTTAAAAAATGAAAAAGTTTTGCTCAGGTTCTTCTGCTGAGAGCAAGACCCCATAATGAGCAGCCTCTTGGGGATGGAAACCAGGTGACATTTAAAGTTCACTCGTCTGCTGCCAGTCCCCTTGTCACAGAGAAGATTTCTCTTCTCTGTAATGTGTAGATATTAGATAACTTTGCATTTTTACCTCCTTTGATTTACTCTCTGGAGGGCCGTCGAGTGAAAGAATCGTGGAGGATTGGTTGACTCCGTTTGAAATCAGCATCTGGGCGTATGGGGGTGACCAGGAGGTGAGGTCGCGTGCTGTGCCGCGTTGCCCTGGAGGCCCCCGCGAGTCAGGGTCCCTGTCCCCGTCTTGGCTCTGTCTCTGCCCGCGGGCTCCCCGGGGCTCTGCTCCTGACCGCCCCACCCTGTGTTGCAGTGATGTGCTCGCCCGGCCCATCTTCAAGCCACAGGAGCCCCAGCTGTCCCCCGAGAACGAGGCCCGCCTGCCGCCGCTGCAGTACGTGTTGTTTGCCGCCACGTCCCCGGCCGTGAAGCTGCACGAGGAGACTCTGACCTATCTCAACCAAGGTAGTGGCCGGAGCGCGGGGGCCGCAGCGGGGCCTCCTTACCCGGTCACCGTGGGGTTGGCGGGGACCGAGACTGTTCTGTCCGCTTCCTAGCCCTGTGCCCTCCCCGAGCCTCCGCATCTTCATCTGATCCACTTTCCTGTGTCATGCAATTAGGCAAGCCTGGGGAGTGGTTGAGTGGTGTGATGTGATAATGAGGAGGACACCCCCCCACCCTGGCCTGGCCTGGTACTTCCTACCAGGCAGTATTCCCAGCTGGGCGTTTCTGGGAGCGGTGCCTGCCACCTGTTACTCCCAGTGCCGCTCTGAGGATAGTCAGGGAGACCACTGAAGGAATGGAGGGGTAGACAATGCCTCCTTGAACAGAAAACCATAATCCGTTGCCCTCCTCCCCACCCCACTGCTCTCCACCCACGGTGACCTGAGGGAATGGCCAGAGAGATAAGAACTGAGGGTGGGGAAGTCCTGTCTTCCTGCCCCTAGACCAGAACAGAATGACAGCTGCCTTTTTACCAGCTTCTACTCTAGGGAAGTCACTTAAACTCCAGAAGCCTCCGATTCGGGATGGTTTCATCGGTGTGTTGCCTTGAGAATTAAGTGAGTCCCAAGTGTCTGGCAAGTGGTAAAGCACAGTTATGTTACTTGCTCTCCCCAGTCATATCGGTGACTCTGAATTTAAGGAATGAGGCAGAGGGTTACTTGTTAGACTTTCTCCGTAGCTGACGTTTTCTTTCCACATTAACTTACAGCTTGGAGTTTGGGAATATGAACTGAGTAAACCACATGATCCTTAAATATATTACTTTTTTCTTAAAAATGCTTTTTCTCTCTTACTGCTTTTTTTCTGAGTAAAAAAGTGGCACATGCTTACTGTAAAACAGAATGTCAAATAGTACACAAATTTGTATTCCAGAAAGTTGTCCATAATCCTACTTTCCAGATTTTTCTTACTCCTACATTAACCCACATCTGTCTAATTATATAGACATATATGCATACATACTTAATAGAAATGTGTGCCTCCCCCCTTTTTTTAGGGTGCCCATGCCCACATGAGTGACTGGGTGGGGGTGAGGGGTGGGGAAGGGGCAGAGGAAGAGGGAGAAGCAGACTCCCTGCTGAGCAGGGACCACCCCCCAACTCAGGGCTCCATCCCAGGACCCTGGGATCATGACCTGATCCTAAGGCAGCCACTTCACCAACTGAGCCACCCAGGCACCTGGGAGAGAGAATATTAAGCAGGCTCCAAGCTCAGCCCAGAGCCCTGCATCAGCCTCTATCTCATGACCCTGAGATCGTGATCTGAGCTGAAATCAGAAGTCAGGTGCTTAATCAACTGAGCCACCCAGGTGCTCCCTGCCCCTTTCTTTTCAAGAGAAATGGGATCGTATTCTTATTTTCAGCCATTTGCTCTCTTTTCCCCTCAAACAAAAATATTCTCAGTCTTTCCATGTGGGTACATTACAAAAATAAAAAAACAAAAGTTGATCCTTACTTGTTACGTTATGATCCATTGTGTGGATGTCCCATAATTTGTTCTGTTGAGGAACATCAGGCTTGTTTCCTCCTTTCTTCTCTTTGCCTTTTTCTTTTTTTCCTTATCAGAATTATACCCAGCACTGCAGTGAGCTTGCATGTGCACATATCTTAGGCTTAAGCAAGAGTGAGAATATCTGTGGGATAAATATTGAGAAATACAATTGCCAGTACAACATTTTGATAGGTATTGCTGTGTTGCCCTGTGATGAAGGTGTACTTATTTGTAATTCTACAAAAAATAAGTATCAAATAATTTTTTTCCTCCTGCCTTTTCTTCTCTTCCTTCTCTCTACTACACCTGAAATATAAAGTCCTTGAAGCAGAGACTTTGTTCTCTGCTATTCCCAGCTCAGTGCCTGGCATACATGACTTCTTTGTTTTTTTTTATTTTTTATTTTTTAAGATTTTATTTATTTATTCATGAGAGACACAGAGAGAGAGGCAGAGACACAGGCAGAGGGAGAAACAGGCTCCATGCAGGGAGCCTGACCTGGGACTCCATCCTGGGTCCCCAGGATCACACCCTGGGCTGAGGCGGTGCTAAACCGCTGAGCCACCTGGGCTGCCCACATGACTTATTTGAATGAATGAATGATGTCTGTTTTTCTATACCTTTGCCAAAACCTTTTAACCTTAAGAACCTTAAAGTAGTGGGGAAAGTATAAGGTATTCTCATAATTTTTATTGCACTGATGATATTGAATATATGTATGCATATATTTTTTAAAGATTTTATTTTTAAGTAATCTCTGTACCCAATGTGGGGCTCAAATTGACAACCCCAAGATCAAGAGTCGCTTGTTCCGGCCGCTCGCCGTCGCCGCCGCTACCGAGGCCGAGCGGAGCCGTTAGCGCCGCGCCACCGCCGCCCGCCCGCCCCGAGCATCCCCGGGCCCGCCCGCCCGCGTCCAGATTTTTAAAAAATACAATGTCTAATGGTGATGAAGACCACATGGCCGAAGACTGCAGGGATGATATCGGGAGAACGAGTTTAATTGTCAACTGCCTCCCTCAGAACATGACCCAGGATGAGTTACGGAGTCTGTTCAGCAGTATTGGTGAAGTTGAATCTGCAAGACTCATTCGGGATAAAGTAGCGGGGCACAGCCTGGGCTATGGTTTCGTGAACTACGTGACTGCCAAGGACGCAGAGAGAGCAATCAACACGCTGAATGGCCTGTGGCTCCAGTCAAAAACCATTAAGGTGTCGTATGCTCGCCCGAGCTCAGAAGCCATCAAAGATGCCAACCTGTACATCAGTGGGCTCCCGCGGACCATGACCCAGAAGGACGTGGAGGATATGTTCTCTCGGTTCGGGCGAATCATCAACTCCCGGGTCCTTGTGGATCAGACCACAGGTTTGTCCAGAGGGGTTGCGTTTATCCGGTTTGACAAACGGTCGGAGGCAGAGGAGGCAATTACCAGTTTCAATGGTCATAAACCCCCAGGTTCCTCTGAGCCCATTACAGTGAAGTTTGCAGCCAACCGCAACCAGAACAAAAACGTGGCACTGCCCTCCCAGCTGTACCACTCGCCTGCCAGACGGTTCGGAGGCCCCGTTCACCACCAGGCGCAGAGATTCGGGTTCTCCCCTATGGGTGTAGATCACATGAGTGGGCTTTCTGGTGTCAATGTCCCGGGCAACGCGTCTTCGGGCTGGTGCATCTTCATCTACAACCTCGGGCAGGACGCCGATGAGGGGATCCTCTGGCAGATGTTTGGCCCCTTTGGGGCAGTCACCAATGTGAAAGTGATTCGCGACTTCAACACCTACAAGTGCAAAGGCTTTGGCTTTGTGACCATGACAAACTATGAAGAAGCCGCCATGGCCATAGCAAGTCTGAACGGCTACCGCCTGGGGGGCAAAATCTTACAGGTTTCCTTCAAAACCAACAAGTCCCACAAATAACTCGCTCATGTGTTGGGAGCGGTCCTGCGGTGCGAGGCAAGGTTCCAGGTTGAGCAAAGGCTCCTTGTCATACCTGGCCAACCCGCTGGGACTGCACCTAGCTCTTCCCCCTTATGGAAGTAAAAGTACATATTTGCTTCTCCTTTAAAATGTTATCGAGACAAGTTCCCATAAAGTAAGCAAGGAGGTGGCCTGACACATGACCGCCTTGGCAGACGTTACTTAATAAGCAAACCTCACTGTTTAGTCTAAATGTGGCATTCCTGCTCTATTGCTTAAACAAGTAACAGGTGTTAGTTTTAAAAACAATGTATGTTTGTGCGCGAGACGTACTTCTCCTTAAAGAAATAGGCCGCCTGCTTACGGAGGCTATATAAACTCTACATGCAAAAATAAAGCTTGTCCATTGTGGCCATCAGCTGCATGGAACCTCCTATCCCATGAACTTTTAGTCTCTTGTTTCTTTCTCATCCCCTTGCCCTCGGTCCCTGAATCCGGACCTTCTCGCGCCGGCCGCGACAAGTGGCGCCCGAACAGGGACCCGAGACAGAGGGAAAGAAGAAGTGTTTATGTTACAGGTAAGGGGATCACGGCGGCTCCGTGAACGATAGGAGTAAAATAATCATGGGACAAAGGCAATCTGTAGAACATGGGTATTTTTTAAAAGTTCTACAGGCTCTTTTAAGGGAGAAGGGGTTTAAGGTTTCTCATAACTCTTTGGATAAGTTCTTTGATACAGTTAGAATAATATGCCCCTGGTTTCCTGATCAGGGCTCGGTGGATCTTTCGGATTGGCAGAGAGTTGGACAGACTCTAAAAAATGAATTAAAAATAAGAGGGGAACAACTGCCTCCTGATATATGGACTACATGGAATTGTATAAAGGAGGTTCTGGATCCTACAGACTCTATTGAGATCATCTCCTTGAACTCTAAAAGTGAAAAAGAGTCACCACCCTCGATGGGGGGGAGCTTAAAAAATAAAAAAATCCATACCCCCCTTTACATAAACTATCCCTAGAATGATGATGAAAAAGGATCCGTTTGATGGTCCCTACCTTGGAGATAGAAGGGAAGAGGTTTTTGTTTTAAATCATGCTGAACCTCCTCCCCCACCTTTATTACACTCCTCCGCTGTGCAAACTGAGAAGGCTCCTCGAAGCCTTTTTCCTGTTCAATCAGACGATTCTTACCCAATAAAAGGAGTTACTCCATTACAAAGAACTCTATTTCAAGCCTCACAGAGGGGAGAAGATGTATCTGAGTTTCAGTTATTTCCTGTTACTGTGCAGGGGGGACTAAGAGCATACACTGCCTTAAGCTTTAAAGTACTAAAGGATTTGAAACAAGCATGTACTCAGTATGGCCCTACAGCGCCCTTTACTCTATCTATGTTAGATAATTTGACGCGAGAAGCATTATGTCCTGGAGATTGGAGGGTCATTGCACAAGCATGCCTCTCCCCGGGGAACAATTTGTTATGGAAAACACAATTCTCTGAAAATGCCGAAAAACAGGCCAGCTACAATAGGGGAACTAACATTCCTGTTGATTACAACATGTTAACTGGTTCTGGTCCGTATTATGACGTAGGCTTGCAATTGAATTTTCCTGAAGTAGCTTATACCTAAATTAATAGTTGTTCTCTGTCAGCATGGAAAAAGCTACCTGCCACAAATACAAGGTCACAGGAACTGTCAAAAATCAGGCAAGGTCCCGAGGAAAATTATTCTGATTTTGTGGCCAGATTGTTAACCACAGTCAGTAGAATAGTCACCGATGCGGAAGCTGGCACTTTAAGAGTTAAACAATTGGCCTATGAGAATGCTAATGTCGCCTGTCAAGCAGCCATAAGACCTTGGAAGAATCAGGGACCTCTTGAAGATTATGTGCACCTTTGGGCAGATATAGGGCCCTTGTATTTGCAAGGAGTCACCTTGGCTGCTGCTATTAAAGGCATCCCTCCTGCAAAATTGCATGCTCAGATACTAAAACAAAATAAGAACCCAAACATGAAAATAAATAAAAAATGCTTCTTAAGTGGCCAATTGGGGCATTTTAAAAATCAATGCCCTCAGAAAAAGACTTCACAAACTACAAAAAAACCTCAAAACCTTTGCCCTAGATGCCACAGAGGATATCATTGGGCTAATAAATGTAGTTCAAAAACTGATTCTAACGGGAATCCCCTTTCAGGAAACAATTCCCTGAGGTATATTGTATTCATTATATGGATGACCTATTACTGGCAGCAGAGACCAGTGAACACCTGGCTAATGCCTTTCGGTTCTTTCCCAATGCCTTAGCTCTGCTGGACTTCAAATAGCTCCTGAGAAGGTACAGAGAGAAGCTCCCTTTGAGTATTTAGGATATCTTATTAGTAAACAGAGTATTAGGCCACAGAAAATCGCAGTTAGAACCTCGCAATTAAAAACTTTAAATGACTTCCAAAAATTATTAGGTGATATAAATTGGCTCTGCCCTTCGCTGTCTCTCACCACTTCTCAGTTACAGCCCCTTTTTTCTATTTTAAAAGGGGACTCCTCCCCTTCATCTTTGAGACAGCTTACTCCAGAAGCAGAGGATGCCTTGGCTTTAGTAGCAAATAAAATTTCCTCTGCACAGCTCCAACAAAGAGATCTGACAAAGAATGTTAACTTAATAATCTTAAAACCTGATGCTCTCCCTATGGCAGTGTTGTGGCAAACCCATGGGCCTTTGGAATGGCTCCATTTAGCTATGCATGTTTTGCATGTCATCAACCCGACGATTTCCCTTATATCTTTATTAATTGCTAGGGGACGGAAGAGATGCATCCAATTATTTGGACATGAGCCTCATAGTATTGTATGTCCTCTTTTAACCGCCTCAATGGTAGAGGATGCATATCAAACCTCCTTGGAATGGCAAACATCTATGGCAAATTTTCCTGGTCAATTTCTTTTTCATCTTCCCAATGACAAACTCCTTCAGGGACTCTCCATCATTCCTACTATATTTGTCTCTCCAATTTCGAGTCAACCGATTAGAGACGCTCCCATCATATTTTCGGACGCCAGCAAAGACGGGCACATTGCCATTGTCTATCTGCATAAACAACATAAAAATGTCATTCAGTTGTCCTATAAGACAAAATCTGTCCAGAGGGCTGAACTTTATGCTGTCATAAAAACTCTTGAAATCTATCAAGAACCCTTTAATCTCTATTCAGATAGTCAATATGTCGCCAGGATATTACCCATTCTTGCTGATTCTTTCATAAACTCTAATGATGAGGAACTTTCGTGCCTTTTTCATAAAATACAGCAGCTGCTCTTAAAAAGAGTTTCACCTATATTTGTTTCTCATATTAGAGCACATTCTGGTTTACCTGGGCCTTTATCCTCGGGAAATGACTTGGCTGACAGATATACTCATTTATATTCTGTCATTGCTAATAAGGATTCTGTCGGTATGGCAATGAAAAGTCACTCTCTTTTCCACCAAAACGCTCGATCCCTACGAAAGCAATTCCATATAACTAGAGAACAAGCTAGGCAAATTGTTAAAAATTGCTCCCTATGTCCCCAATATGTTAACACCCCTTCCTTTGCCATTAATCCGCGAGGCCTTTTGCCCAATGATCTCTGGCAAATGGATGTAACACATTATTCATCTTTTAATAAATTACAATTTGTGCATGTTTCTATTGATACTTATTCTGGCATGATCGTAGCTTCCGCTCATTCTGGTGAAAGTTTTACTGATGTTCAAAATCACCTTTTTCACGCTTTTGCTTACATGGGAATGCCTAAACGATTAAAGACTGATAATGGGAGTGCTTATATATCCCAAGCTTTTAAAACCTTTTGTGAAACATTTCACATCCAGCATACCACAGGCATCCCTTACAACTCTACAGGTCAAGCTATTATTGAAAGAGCTCATCTTACACTTAAAAATACCTTACAAAAACTAAAAAAGGGGGAGATTATGGCAGGAAAAATGAAATATTCCCCCCACATGCACCTAGACTTAGCAATATTCATTTTAAATTTTTTGATTGTGCATGATGATGGATATACACCATCAGAAAAACATTGGGGAAAAAATACTGATCCACCCCTTATGGCAAAGTGGAAGGATCCTATGACAGGACAGTGGAAAGGCCCTGACCCCTTGCTTAGACAGGGTCGAGGATATGCTTGTATCTTCCCACAGGATGAGGAAGCGCCACGCTGGGTTCCAGCCAAATTTGTTAGAGATATCAAAACTGAGAAGGAAGATGAGTCGGCTGAACTTATGCCCTCCTCGGAGGAAGAGGACTCCTAAAACAGATTTGCCATCATGGGGACAAATAAAGAAGTTAACCTCACGAGCCACAAGTTTGATAAGAAGATTGATTTCAACACAAAGTTATTCCTGGTGCAACAACCTCCATATTGGATGATCCCTGTTGACGTGAGAGGACCTTGGTACGCGAACTTTGGTATGCAGTTAGCTCAAGAATTGGTGAAGAAGCTAAGAAGAACTCGAAGATTTCTTGGACTTTTAATTGCAGGGATAGTGGCTACTATTGCTCTTATTGCTTCTGCTACTGTATCTGTTGTATCTTTGCATGAAAATGCTCAGACCGCTGAACATGTAAATGAACTTGCTAGAAATGTAACTATTGCTCTTGATGCTCAAAAGAGAATTGATGAAAAAATTGAAGCGCAGATTGAAGCTTTAAAAGAAGCCGTTTTATATCTTGGTGATCAATTTGTTGTATTAAAAACTATAACCCAATTGACTTGCCATGATGCTTATAAACATATTTGTGTTACCCCACTGCCTTTTAATGGATCATGGGAAAATGTACGTATGCATTTACAAGGGGTTTGGAATCATGCTAATATTAGTCTGGATCTCTTAAAATTACAACAAGAAATAGACGCCATTAGTCAAAGTATGTTACATTATGAAGACCCCGGCGATTTAGCCGGTGAGATCTTAAATCAGTTAAATGGCTTTAATCCCTTCAATTCACTGAAATAT